GTACCGCGTAATGATGAAGGAGATGTTCATGCAGCCATCGAAAGTAACCTAAGCATTTTCCAAAGCGCAGGACGCCTAAGCGGTAAGACAAAAAAGCGAAGACTTTCTGATGATGAGTTAAAGGCGCTGCATCATTACCTTATGCTAAATAGTGTCGAGATTGAACCATTCATTGAGTATGTCTCTAATTTTATCTATTTCTAGTAAACCATTCCGCGAGTGAACACTTAAGGCATATGATGTTCATTGCAGGAAATATGTCGATTCAGTACGTGACTCAAATCCTGACATTACTGATGAGGCTTTACTTCTGCAAATGGAAGAAAGTTTTGCATCATGGTTTGAAAAACATGTATATATATCATAGCCTTAATTCAGTTAACAACTCTATTTAGTCATTTACTTATAATAATGAGACACCTCAAGTTATTCATCATTTGTACTACTTTCAGGCTTGTGAAATTGTTGATACACCGCAAGTTATTCGTGATGTATCAAGGGGACCTCTACCCGTCGTCAGCACATACCCAATTTGTTATGTCAATGGTTATCGCTTTCACACTGAGACTCATGGTGCCAAACGTGCCACGTTTAACAGCGGTGTGTCTATTGTTGGAGAGCATTGTTCTTACTATGGTCATGTAGAAGAAATTATCGAGGTTGAGTATCCTGCTTTACCAATAAAGCGTTGTGTTGTATTCAAATGCAAGTGGTATGATCCACGACCCAGAGTTGGAACTAGAGTGCACGACAAATATGACTTGGTTGAGGTTTTAAAAAGTGGGATATTCCGCAAATATGAACCATTCATCCTTGCAACACAAGCTAAGCAAGTGGCCTACGTAGAGTATTCTGGAGTAGCTAGTAGGGCAAAAAGAGAATGGTTAGCTGTTTGTGATGTAAAACCACGTGGCTGGGTTGAAACCACATCTGATACACAAAAGCTCAAGAGTACTGACGATTTTGCGTACCAAGAAGATGCAAGAGTGGCAGTCGAAATTGTTGAAGTTGAACCGCACGAGGAAGCTCCACTACTTGCAGAAGTTCCACAGTTAATTGATCTTGATGATAGTGAGGACGAAGAAAGTGATGATGTTGAGATATTAATTACTACTGATGATAGCTCTAGCAAAAATGTGTTCATGTCCGATGATGAATTATCATAAAATAGACTTTAATACAAAAGGTGGTTGAACAAATATATTGTTGTATTCATATTATTAACTGTTTTACTAATCCTTAATTACTTTTCCTTGCAGATGGCTGGTGGAGATAAGGGTAAGGGTCACGCAGAGCAAACAAGGTCCAATACAGGGAAGTGGAAAGAACTTTCTAGGTTGCGACATGCCATCCTTGGTGGTGGTAGATCAAGCGGCACATCGGCCAGCGCATCTGCGAGTGCAGCAGGCAGCGCATCTGCGAGTGCCTCAGCTAGCGCATCAGCCAGCGCCTCAGGCAGCGCATCAGCGAGGGCATCAGCGAGGGCATCAGATAATTCGGCTGTTAGAGTTCCTACTGGGCCCCATGGGACAAATGTCACTAGCACCTCTTCCAGAGGGTTTACACGTTCTACTGATGAGTCCAGGATGCACGATGATGAGAGCATGGACTCAGACGAGTCGATAGAGCACGAGCATGACGATGCTATGGACCTTGGACCGAGCGTAGCATATTTTGACCGAGCACGGATCATTTGTTCCACATTCCAGCAGAGGCTTGATCCAACAGGGGGTAGTTGGAAGAGCCTAAGCGACGCGACTGTGGACTTTTACTGGAGAGAGTTTCAGGTAAAATTTGGTTTGATACGAGTATCAAATGTATGCTTTCTATATTTTGTATTTTATTTAAGATATTTTCTAACATGTCCGGTCTAACTTCTTTTTTAAATTTAGAAACATGCCACTTGGGACCCTCGCATTGATGATAGCGTTATGTTCCGTGCTTGGCGATCGAAGGCTAGAAGGCGATACACCGATTGGCTCTCATCAATTAAGAATGAGAAGAAAGGAACAGAGAAGGTGCAACCACTTATACCGCAATCGTGGAAGGAGGTATTTCTAAATATCTTTTAAATTGATGAGTTATGTTATACGTATTAGCTGCAAATTGTGTGTATATATATTTGTATTCTTGTATTTATATGTTGTCAAACAGTATTGGAAGTCACCAAAGTTCTTGGCATCCTCCAAGCAAAACAAGAAAAATCGGCGTGGCGGTGACGAGAATGCCCCTGCTAGCGCCACGCACACCGGTGGTCCATTGTCTTTTCGCGAGTCTCAAGCACGCCTTGTAAGTATTGTTAGCAACAAAAATTACTTTTATAATTTCAAAGTGACGTGTTTTCACTTATTTATATATTTTATTTTTTAGGGTAAAAGTGGAAAGGCTTCTGACTTGTACTCTTCGTACACACACACACATACGAAGAAACATGATGGGAAGACCTACGTCAATAAGAAGGCAGAAGAAGTATCAGTAAGTGAATGAATATATATAATGTATTTGTGAATGATTAGTTTTCGTTGGATTTAATTGAATGTGCATACTGCTCATTTTATTTTGCTTTTTATGTTACAAAGTATATATACATTTATGTGTTGTGTAATGCAGCAAAACTACGTAGCCATGCAAGAGGCAGTTCGTGAAGAAGGCTTAAATGTGACACCTGACGAGATTTTTCTATCTACAGTTGGAGGACATGATGCCAAGAATCGTGTTCATGGTGTTGGAGATCTCGCACGGAGCCTACCACGAATGCATGCAAGTCAGGCCAGACGGGCTAGCACCAGTTCTATGTGGGACCCTCGAGATGATGAGATTCGGAGGTTGAGAGAAGAGCTAGATGACATTCGAGCTTCCCAAGCGCGTGAATTATTATCGATTAGAGAAGAGATGACCCGACTTTATGGAGGAGTTTTCCCACGAGGAAATGGAGATGGCGGTGGAGATGGAGGAGGGGCGGGATTTACAGGGGCTTGTTGAGTTTTTAATTAGAATTGAAGAACAATATATTAAACTTAAGTTTTATGAATATGTAAGTGAGTTAAATTTGATAGTTATGTTGAATTTTTATAAATATTATTTGAATTTTACTTGTTTATTGGTGATTTGAATATTCTTGGTTGTTTGGTAATCCTTATTTCCAGTAATTGTTGTTGTTTGATGCTGGGATTTCTGAGTTTTGCTATGGAGGGGTGCGAAATTNTTAATTAGAATTGAAGAACAATATATTAAACTTAAGTTTTATGAATATGTAAGTGAGTTAAATTTGATAGTTATGTTGAATTTTTATAAATATTATTTGAATTTTACTTGTTTATTGGTGATTTGAATATTCTTGGTTGTTTGGTAATCCTTATTTCCAGTAATTGTTGTTGTTTGATGCTGGGATTTCTGAGTTTTGCTATGGAGGGGTGCGAAATTGGAAAAACAGCAGGCTGTAGGTGGTAAGCTGTCAAATTAGCGACGGAATGAGCGACGGAATTTCAGTTCCGTCGCTATATGGTCAAAATGCATATTCCATCGCTAAATCCGTCGTTAGCTATAGCGACGGAAAGTATCCGTCGTTCGTTCCGTCGCAAATTTCCGTCGCCACATCCGTCGTAGCCTAGCGACGGATAATAAAAATCCGTCGTCACACTCACTACTAACGAAAAAATAGCGACGGAATGGATTCCGTCGTTATTTCCGTCGTAACGAAGATCACCTACGGAAATAAGGCTTTGGCGACGGAATTATTCCGTCGCCATTTCAGCAGTTTTTTGTAGTGGCAGTGATTTTTCTGTTGAAGGAAATCCCCTTTCTAGCATTTGCAACTGTGTGCAGAGAGCTTCGGAAACCCACTCGAAACTTTGGATGCCAAGGCGGGGAATGGCGGCCACCGAGCTAACAAGCTGCCCGATCTGCACATCCAAAGTGAGGCTAGAGATCGACGAAAACTATCACTATCACACTCTACCACCATCACACTCTGCACCATTACCGACACCACCATCACACTTTGTATAGTTTCCGTCGCAGTGCCACATTAACAACAATGAAGGTATAATTCCAAACATGGCCACATATAATGTCACATATGGTAATACATAATGCCACAGATTACCATATAATGTCACATATGGTAATGCACAATGCTACATATTATCATATATAATGCCAGTGTTGCAAATTCAAAATGTCAAACAAATGAATAATGTCAAACTCAACCACTGACCCGCAATAATACTACCGGTGACCATCATCCATCTCACGGCTACCATTATGGCAGCTCGATGACCAACCGTCATTGACAACGGTGGAAGGGGAATCAGCGGCGGTGGAGACCAAAATCAGAGTGGGAATTCCGATCTCGGCACTTGCCGGCGCCGAATATGTTGCTTTGGTCTTGCTGGCGAGTCTAGGCGAGCGACGGGCGGAGCTTGTTGAAAGGAGTTGCGGCAAAAGAGGAATCAATGGAAGGGATGATTTTTTTCCTTTTTGGATTGGGACAACGGAGCAATGACTACTCAATCCAAAAAAATCAGGTCTAAAATTGAAAATATAGAAATATTTTTGAAATTGAGAAATTAAATAAAATTAGAGGAGTCTGCTCTTGCGCTGCTGCAATTCAAGAAAATTACATTACCAGTGAAATCAATTGCGATGGAGGCTTGGAGATGAAGACGCATGAAGGAAAGGCAGTTTTTTTTTCTCTATTGAGTAGGTAGTGCGCTATGAATAGGAAAGTTAGATTTTTTTTATTCAATTACTCTTATTTAAAGGAGTTTAAGTTTGAACTCCTACTTTGAGAGTATAACATATGTTTTACTCCTATTTGGGGGGTTTTCTTAAATTATTTTCTTGTGGGCAAATTATTACATTCACACCATATATGCTAAATAAGCATTTTTAAGTATTGAACTAAGCATTTTTTAAATTACAACAAAAATGTGGGAAAGTCTATGTGGATTTTAAGTCCACCATGAGTGATGTTTACACAGTCTTAAGGTCCACATTTAAAATGTAGACGTTCTCACATTTGTCATGAGTTTGAATGTAGAAATTTTCTTTTTTGCAATAGGCCCAGTTTTTTAATCCTACGAATATATTAAGATCCATAAAATGAGTACGAATCTAAGATCCACGAAAGAATTTACTCTCCACCATAAATTCAATCTTTCTCATTATCGTTAGTTTCAATTTTAATAACTTTTCAAAGTTCCTAAAATCTACAATAAACACAGTTTTGGTACAAGCCATTTGGATAAAATTGGATAAAAATATGAAACAATTTAAGAAAACGAACACATTCTACCTCTCTTTTAGGGTAAAACAATTACTTATCACGGTTTGAAAAACAGTTATACCTTAATTTCTGACGCATCTCACAAAACACTCTTAGGCTATGTTCTTTTGACCATTAACTCTCAACTTCTAACATATTTTAACTCCTTGCAATTTCTTCCAACTTATTTTGCTTTTTTCCAATTCCAATTTCTTCTGACTACTATTTTTTCCAACTCGTTTCAGCTCTTCCAAGTTCTTCTAATTTCTTCAAGCAATGACTTTAAAATTTATTTAGTTTTATTTCATAGATTTAATATTATCACAATAGAATAAAAATTAGTTTAGTTTCAAATTTTATTAAAAAGTTGTGTCCTGGATATAAATTTTGGCAACCTTTATAGAGTCATATAAATAATTAAAACCTTAAATTAATTAATTTATAATATCTTTGTGATTTTATAATTTTCGTGACTTATGTTTCTTTTAAATGTGTTCTAGTCAATGTTTATAAATTTTGACCAAAATAATTGTCATTATGTTTTCTTTTATTAAGTATTACACAACATCAAAATGTGCAAACACTAATATTTTTATATCGTCCATGTTCTATGCGTATGAAAAATAATAAATTTTCATATATCAGTTTAATTCGTGAAGAAATAACTGTTCAAAATTAATATTGTTTATTTTTTAAATGTGCATATGGCGGATGTATATTAATTGCATTAAAAATTTCTCTATTTGACTTTTATAAAAAAATATATTAAAAAAAGTAAAAAAAAATAGTTTTACTTGTAATATTCTTGTGACATAAGAAAACAAAATGCTGAAACTTTTTACGGGAACGAATTGACACCGATTGATATGCCTCTTTTTGTTTTTCCTCATTATTTTAAAATAATAAACTTTTCCTAATAAAAAAGAATAGGAAATTTATGGAAATAAAAATAACTCAAACTCTTGGAAGCACTAACCTTAACCATAGCTCAAGTAAATTTGCGTCATCCTTATGCCTTTTTTCTCTTTCCCTCCTTATTTTAGAATAGTGAAATTTTTGTAATAAAAAAAAGAATATAAAACTTTTTGAAATAAATACAACTCAAACCCTTGTAAGCACTGACTCCTAATCGGAGTCTCCTCGTGCTCTCTTCTTTGATTCAACGTTCCAAGTTCCTTCGCTTAAAAAAATTAATTTTAGTTATTTTCAATTATTACTGAGATTAGAATTCTTACAAATGATATATACTTTGTAATCATTACTCTTTTAGTAATTTTGAATGCAAAATTTACATTGTTAGTCTCAGGTGATTTTTGTAATTATTTGAATATATAAAATATGATATAAAATTATTTTTGTTTGGTCACGAAATCGTTATAATTTTTAAGTCCATTTTTTCTTTCCACTAAGATTAGTGAAAGTATTTTTTTCTTCATTTGTTTTCTTACAACTGAAAAACAAAAAATTATTTAAGTGATATTGATTTTAAATAGTAAGAAAGAGTGTGAGTCACAAAAAAATACAACTACCGTTTGGGACAAAATATAATGGCATAAAATAAGTTTAATAAAAAGGGATTAAAATTTTAAAAAGTAGAGTATACATTTTTCAAATAATATATGAAATTTATAACATGAAATAATTATTTTAACACTTTCTGTTTTTTAACACTTTCAAATTTTTCAAACTCCTTGCATTTTCTTTCATCCCTTCGAGTTTCATCAAACTCCTTCCAATTTTACCTTTTTTAATTTGTTCCAACTCCTTTCATCTTCTTCCAATATTTTTTAACTCTGGTTTTGTAAGCAATGTCTGGTTTTGTAAGCAAAGTCAACATTCAACTCTGGTTTTGTAAGCAAAGTCATCTAAGTACACTATCATCATTAAGGACTAAGGACTAAGGAGGGTAGCATCGTAGAAGTTATGTGGATCGGAACTCTTTTTTCGAGTATAAAAATTCCAATCGCATAAAAACACACGGAGCAGAAGCAATAGACGAAGAAGACATACCACAACTTCCCTGATCTTTGACTTCCGCGACCGCTCCTTTTTCCCTCCAGTCAACGGACTCCGGCAAGCTAAAGTCAACCTTCGGAGAGCGCCGATCGCTCTTCGTCTTAGAAAATCGCCGGCGAACATCGGTGTTGACGCCGAGGTACGTCGACCGGTACTCCTCGTTAGTCAGATCGGAGAATCGGTTCAATCCGAGCTTGTACGGCCGATCTCCCAGGCTGTTCTGCTCGTCGATGTATCTTAAGTTGTCCTTAAAGATCTGAAACCTCTTCTCCTTCTCCCCGCCGAGACCGTAGTACGACTTCCGATGTTCGGCCAACCACGACTCGTACAAAGCCATGACTTCGCCGTCGGTGCGACCGGCCAATCCTTTCTCGGAATGATCCTCGCCGTAAGTTATTATCGACGACATGTCTGCTGCCGCCGCCGCGGCAATTACGGAAAGAAGACCGATGAGGGAAAGAAGCAAAAGCTTAGCCATATTGCAGGAGAGTTAGTTGGAGTGGACAATACGAATTACGAACAGGGGAGGTAGAGTGGTAGAATATACTACCCCTTCCCACTCTCTTTGTCCACTTTTAACTTTTGGAACTGTTCATCTAAGCACTTTAACTCATCAAATTCTCTCAATGTGTAAGCCTAAATATAGTCATGTGTGATCTTGTTTGATTTGTCTTAACATATAGATTATTAATATATAATTTCTATAATTTTTTAATATACAAATTATAAGATAAAATGGATTAAAGAAGTGCATTGGATGATGTGCCAAAAGGTAAGTGGAGGTACGGAGAGAGTATACGAGAAAGTGGGGATATTTTTGGTCAGCCAATAGAACAAAAGTGAATTATTGGTTAGATTCCTCTCAAGTCTTTATCTAATGTGAGCTAAAAGAAAGCCTTTATTTAATTTCTTATTTTCTTGGGTAAATTTCATAATTGAGTCTTTATAGAATGAAAGTTTTTCTATTTAGTCTTTTATTATTAAATAGAGTAAATTTCATAATTGGTCCTTTATAACAATGGAGTTTCTATATTTAGTCTTCTATTATCAATATTATCCTCGTAGTCCTTTTTTAAGGGTGTCTTTCCACAAATGGTCCTTTTTTATCTTCCGCCATATGGGTGTTAATTTAAAGGCTAAAAATATAATTTGATATCAACATTATGTCTAGTGACGTGTTCTGATATTGGTTAAGCGGATAATACAAAAATAATGACTATGCTTGTGGGCTAGGATTCCAACGGAAGACCACATTTGTACACTATAGTTGTAGTATAAAGCGAATATAATTTACAAACGATGCAAACGGTACAACCTCTAGAATTGTGTTTGACAAAAAAGATATATTATCATTGTGAAATTACACTTTTAGATTTCAAATTAACACCAACATGATAGAAGACAAAGTTGGTAGTTCAAGTGGATGACTCTTGTGCTTGTATTTAAAGCTGTTTAGGTTCTATCCCCATCTACAACATTTCATTTTTAAAATAGGAGAACAAGATTTGGGCTACGAATGTTAAAGAAAGTACATATATATAATAATATATCAAAAAATTTGGCCCCCATAAATCTTGGGCCCAGTCTGGTCGGGCAGGCCGTCCCCCTTATAGGCTGACCCTGATCCCCACCTACACCATTTCATTTTAAAAATAGGAGAACGAGATTTGGGCTATATAATATTAAAAATTTGCATATATATAATAACTAGTATCAACCCCGTGCTTCGCACGGGCTCACATATACTCCGTATTTTTAGTTTTAACATATAGAAAATAAAAGGGTGTTTATTTTAAAATCTTTAATGATATATATATATATATATATATATATATATATATATATATATATATATATATATATATATATATATATATATATCTATATATATACACACAATGTTTTTGATTAATATTATCTAATTATAAAATAATTTGTATCTCTCTTGAGAGAAAAGTTTTAATTTTAATATAATATTGATGTACATGTATTAAAATTTATGTAAATCTTTATTTTGAGATGTAATAAAAAGGAAAATGATGAATATTATTAAAAATCACATCACTCTTTATTTTTTAATGGATTAATAAAGTTTATAAAATCTTTTTTAGATAAAATCTAATTATGTGCAAAATCTATTTTTAAATGGTGTAACACATAAACCCTAAAATGAATACAAACATTGAATAAAACATATTAAGATTTTTAATCTATATACTTCATTTGTTTCAAAAAGATTATCATAGTTTGATTTTTTTTGTAAAATTGTGTAACACTTTGATTACAAATAAAATATAATTTTCAATAATTAAATGTCATAAAAATTTGATATACGAAAACAATATTTTAAATGGACACAATTTTTTCTAAATTTATAATACAACTAAATATAATATATTTTTTACACGGTTTGTGATCAAGGTATAGAGCAACTTGACCAAAAATACCAAGTTGTGATAACATTTTTTGGGAGGAAGAGGTAACACAAAGGGTTATCGAATGAAACAATAATGAGATTTGATTTAATCAATGAAAAATAAAATAAAAATTCCAAAGAAATCAACCAAGTAATGAAAATTGCATAAGTGGTATACGACCTATATGTCATGTGTTATCCTTCAACAAAAATAAATTTATTTAATTTAATTTGTTGATATAATATATTAGAAATTAAATAATGTTACAGATAAAACATTTTGAAATAAAATATATAATTATGGCTCATATCAATTCTTTTTCCTTTACACAAACAACAACCACCAACCACCAACATTCTAGTTTATTAAAAATTGTGCAAAGTCAAACTCGTAAGAAAAGTCTACGACAGAGGGAGTAAATGACATGCAACTAACATGTATCATCTTTCAACTTTAACTTTGATTTGTTTAGTTTGTTGAAAAATATACACTGTATACTAAAATATACTTCTTAGTATGTAATAGGATAAAAAGTTTGAAATAAATCTTGCATTTAATAAATATTTATATGTTATTAAAAATTATAATACTATTTTGAAAATTGTTTGAGTTGATGAAAATTAAAATAAAAATGCCAATTAGACCAATTAAGTATTGACACGTCATTAAAGAATGTATATCAATCATATGCCAAATGTAATTCTTTAATTTAAACTATCACTCTGTTTAGTTAGCTGAATGAATATATAATCAAGATGTATGTGTGAAAAAAATTTATGTGTAATAAATCTTTTGAGATGATGGATAATTTTTAAAAATTATAAGGAACATTGTTTTTTAATATATAAATCTTATATAAATTTTATAAAAATTTTAAATAGTCATGCATATTTAAAAGATATGTTAAAACAATGAAAAATATTTCTAAAATAAATAGATAGTGAAAAGTTCATAAAATAATGGTTATTTATTGTTGGAAAGTGAAGAATTTTTAAAAGAACTAATATTGGAACATTTGGCGGACACATGTTAGTAGTATGCACGCGTGGCTGCCACGTGAATTAATATTGGCCACATCATAGGACACGTGTCAACACTACAACTCTTAAACTCTCTTTTACATATACACTAGTATTTTTACCCGTTCCACGCACGGGGTTGAACGAATACATTTTGTTACTCAGTTATTTTTTATTCTTTTTAGCTAATGATTAAAAAATTAAAAAAAATATAATATCGAACTTTAGAATTTTAATGAATGATATACCATAAACATTTGTTAACCGAAATTTATCTATATATAAATTGAAAAGAACATGTTAATGTATAATTTAAATCTAAACTTTTTGAAAAATTTCGGGGTAAATCACATTTTTGGTGAAGTTGCAAGGTTACCGTTGTCATTTAAAATTAACACTTTCAATTATGTCTTTGCTTTCACTTGTGAAACTACAATGTAAAATTGACCGTGAGTAAATATTGATTTGGTATAAAATATTCCAACAAATGACAATGTTTGGCCTTGAGTCTTATAATCTTATTGATAGTCATGGCAAAACATAAAAATATTGAGAATTGTTTTATTTGAATCTTAAATAGTAATCCAAGATTAGACGGTACCAAATTCATTCTTGATATGCAAACTTTCTCCTCGGCATTGTTTTCTGATAGAACAATTGCACCGATAACGTATTTTCGCAACTCTTCAACGATGAACCTTGTACTCTTACACAGCCCAGATGTTTGATCAATGTTTCTCAATAACATGATCAGTACTTCTTTCTTCAAAACTACTTTGCGCTTTAGAATTCCAAAACATTTGATATTGTTCAAAAACTCATTCATTATCAAATCACCATCTATGCCAACATCTGAATCTACTTGACATGAAGAATCTGAACTCAAATATTCCTTTTCATCACCAGGAATAAGGGACAAAACAAATTCGTTGATCATTTCAGCAACTTCAAGCATGAGTGCTAATAACGCTTTATCAAAGAAAGTATAAGATTTCATATTTTCCAATAAGTATGGATATGTGAATTCCACTATATTCTTAAGCGGAGAACTCGAGTTAAAAATCAAGGATCTAGTGGAATTCCACAATACTCTAATACAAAAGTATAAGTTTAACATTTGTAATGATTTTATTTTTCGTTTTTGTTATTTCAAAAATATAATATTTATTCCAACACTTTTTCTCTTTTTTCCCCAAAAATTTTCAATTATTTTAATTGTTTTTCAACTCTTCTTAGTTTTTTGGTTTCTTCCCATTTCTTTCAGTTTTTTGAGTCTATTTCAGTTTTTTAGGTTCTTCCATTTTTCCACTTCCTTCTAATTACTTCCATTATTTTGAATTTCTTCTAACATCTAACTCTTTTTTTTCAAACTCTAAAGTACATGTTAGTTTTTTTAATTTTTTTAAATTTTTTCTAACGCCATCATTTTTTTCGAATTCATTCAAAATTTACATATAAAGCATTGTTGGTTTCAAAAAGTTGCATTGGGTCCCCTCTGTCAGTCAAATTCTAACGTTTGTATTTCACTCCCAGAGTGCGTTGAAGTTTGACAGCGAGGGGAATGAGTGCTCATTTTCTATACTACGAGGGCATTAGAAGCTATTTAGTTCATTTTTTTATTTTTATTTTTTCTTCTCTTTGTTTTCTTTTTAAATTTTTTTAATTATTTTGTATTATTCTTTAAACATTCAAAAATGTTTGCGTTTTAAATAAAAATAAATGTAAAAAATATTACGTACTCCGCCAGTCTCAAATTACACATTTCATTTTTTTTAAATATAAAAAATTCTTATCGTGACGTTCAAACAAATGAAGTATAGAAAAATGAAATAATAAAAAGAATAGCAAAAGGAAATGAAAAAGTAAAAAGAGTCAGAAACTACTCGAATAGAAAAGAGAAACTGTATCAATGAAATGATGAGGTGAAAATTTTAGTACTATATCAATATAAACCTTATCATACTCCATAATTGGATTCTTAGAAAGTATTATTAATGTAGAATTAGTAAGTGAGTTTATCATATTTATTGTTTACTTACATTTTTTCTAAAACATAATAATTCCATATATATATATATATATATATATATATATATATATATATATATATATATATATATATATATATCATAACTGGTAATTAGAATTATTTCCTTTTCCATTAATAAGTTTACTTCGTACAATACCATAGTAATCTTTCACTAATTTTGATCTATAACATTATTAATTTTTTAGTACTACTCTTTTTTAAGATAATTTGAGTTTTTCTTGATTGTAGGGTACGGTGGTAATTCTGCTTCGTGTGCTTTATTAATAAGTTTTTCTATCTTTCGTTGTGTTTAGGAGGTCACTCCCCGTGTGTTCATTATATTTGGATCTTTTAGCTCATTAATGGAAGTTTTTTTACCTTAAAAATTTATTCTAATACATTAATAAAAAATATAATTACTCATAAGTTTTTTTCCTTTACCTAAAAGTATTTCCATCTTATGTTATGTTTGGGAGCTCACTCATGTGTTCATTATGGATCTTTTAGCTCATTAATGAAATTTTTTTCTTTTACAAAAATTAATTTTACTTCATTAATAAAAAAAGATATTTAGTCATAAGTTGCCGGCAAGTAAAAAAATCTTTACTTGTTCTAAAGATATTTAATCTAAATTTATTCAAGAATTTGAGACAATTCTAAACATATCTCATCCACATTATTAAAAATATTTTCAAACATAAATTTATTATTATTAAAATTTTACATTTCAGATCTACGATTAAGTCACATTTGTACTACGGAGATGCTATAAATTTATTAATTCTATATTTGATGCTTAGTTATTCTTTTTGAAAACTTATGTTAAAAAAACCTACATTAATATGTAATTTACATTAATTTTCTACTTTTGTATTTTATAAATAATTATAAAGTCCTCATACACTTGCTTATGGGAGTATTTTTAATTTATTTTATAGGTGGAGAACATTGGATAAATGAAAAAACTTTAAATAGAATAAAAATAAATTCTCAAGAGAAAAATAGTGATTATCTTAATTAGCACTCATTTTTAGTTATACGGAGTGTCAATGAAAAAATTATGTATTATTCGTAGTATATTAAATATTTAATCATACTTAGAATTTTTCAGAGTGCAGGTTGAATATTTATTTGAGTATATTAAATATTTATTTAACTTGTAATTGAATGCCTTTCATAAATTTCTAACAATTTTTTGTTTATTTTTTTACTGCTTTACGTAAATACATGAAAACTTGTGAAAAAATAATGACGCATAGATATCGCTACATGTCATTTTTTAAAAGAACCATGTCACTGTTTTAAAGAGTCACATGTCAAATTTTTAGGGTTAGGTGTCTCAAATTTATACATAAGTGATCAAGTAGTATTAAGTTTCTTCTCTCCAATAGCACAATACTGAGTAGGAATATTGGGCTTGTTTGGTCTGATCTGGGTCACCATAAAGCCAAATTTGGAAGTAAAGAAGCAAAATAATATACTCTAGATATTTAAAAAATGACATGTCAAACCTGGAATCTTAATAAGAGAGGAGAATTTAATAGCGGTTTTCAAGTTACCTCTTGAACTCGACCAAACCTCATAAGTGCTGAAATTGTCAATTTGCAATTCATACTTAATGTGGTTGCGATTTGCCTTATGGGTATCCATACATAAAAACATAATAAGGACATAAGAGATATTAATCATATTATACATAATTTCCCTACTATCCCTAAAGTTATCAACCAAAATAATGTACTTCAATAGTAATAAGTTGTAGTTCATGGCTTTAATGTGATTGCAATTTTTAATCGAACTGGAGAGGTAACAACCTCAGAACCTCAAGAAAGGTTCCTCACTGTATAGAAGGCATATGCAGTATTACCCAGCAGAATATTTAAGTTTAGCATTGCAAAACATTATTTGACTCTTATCTTCATATAAAAATTGTGGTCACTTGAGAAATAGGAAGGACTTGTTAGTTGCCTGCCATGTTAAAGTTAAAGTCCTAATGACACAACATAACAAATGCCTTAGACATAAAAAGATATACCCTTTACCACTCCTCTTTGTCAAATTCCTTTAAAATCCTTACAAAAGCAAGGATACCCTCAAAATTCTTTTGTTGTTGTATACTTGTATATAAAGTTTATTATTCTTATTTCTTACGGGGTATTAGTTTCTTAAAGTAGTTTCTTATAATTGAGGAGATAAGAATGTTAGGTCCTTAATATTTAGCATATGGGTTGAGAAATTTCCCCTTATTTTGAAAATCACCATTCCCATTCTAAAATTAGAATCACTTTTTCTTTGTGAAGTGCAAACAGACCTTCTAAAGCCTTTTACATGCATAAGAGTTTCAATATAGTCTTGAAACAATATGCTAATACCCCTAGCAAAAAATCTGAGCTCTGGTAATTAAGCACACCTCTAATTCATTGAATTGGGAACCTTTGCAACATGCCACCCAAGCTCATCATTGTAATCAGCCCATAAACAATGGACTTGTGTTGAGTAATGTATACGGGTCATGTTTTTCCATTGGTTGACCAATAAAGAAGGCTTGGGGTATTTCATGGCCTTTTTTCTATAATTACCAGCAATGTTTTTGATGAAGATCTCCTCAGCTTCATCAACCAACCTAAGAACGTGAAAAGAAAAATGAAGTGGGAGCTTCATTTAGATGAAGAGTTCCTAATCTAATTCTTTGGTAGAGTTTATTTTCTGTAAGAGCTCTCGCCCATTTGAAAAAAGGAGAATTATTAAATTACTTAAGAAAAACGGCTCAAGATAGAAAAGAAAATATTTTATGTCAACATAGTACATAACACATCAATGTGTAATTAATTAATTTAATTTTACCCTATATAGAAGGCATATGCAGTATTACCCAGCAGAATATTTAAGTTTAGCATTGCAAAACATTATTTGACTCTTATCTTCATATAAAAATTGTGGTCACTTGAGAAATAGGAAGGACTTGTTAGTAGCCTGCCATGTTAAAGTTAAAGTCCTAATGACACAACATAACAAATGCCTTAGACATAAAAAGATATACCCTTTACCACTCCTCTTTGTCAAATACCTTTAAAATCCTTACAAAAGCAAGGATACCCTCAAAATTCTTTTGTTGTTGTATACTTGTATATAAAGTTTATTATTCTTATTTCTTACGGGGTATTAGTTTCTTAAAGTAGTTTCTTATAATTGAGGAGATAAGAATGTTAGGTCCTTAATATTTAGCATATGGGTTGGCGTTATTTTTGACAACACACAATCACTAGTTTAGTGGAGTGTAGTGTCCTTATGTTAGTAGAATTTTGTTGGTAGAATTATTGGTCATCCTGCATGTTAACTTGGACTGGGACACTGCGCTGGAAGTGTTTAGCGTGAAGAAGGATTTCTGTTCTGTCAAGTAGTTGGCCAAACCGAAGACTCCTCTCTGGACTCAACGTAGTAGTATGCGCAGGAGTTCTACAGAATAAAGGTTAGGGTTTCATCCTATGCTAGTCTAGAGATATAAATAGGAGATCAATGCTTGGCAGAAAAGAGGGAGAAGAAATATATTCAGCTGAAAAGAGAGTACTTACAGAGAGTTGATCTATCATAGAGAAGAGCTTTTCATATATATTACGTAAGGCTACTGTGAGAAGATTAGACATGGATCTCTTCTGAAGGATTGTTTAGCTTGTGCATCGTGAGAGGCTGAGCAAAGGTCAAGAACACATCCTTATTGCAGAGCAACGAGAAGGTGTAATAGGCCTGGTTTGACGACAAACAGAGTTTGGAGTCTGATCACGTAAGTAGACAAATCTATTCAATAGAAGGATCTGTTGAGTCTGATTGTGTAATTCTTATGATGATCTAGTGGAAAGGCTATTACACGGATGTGGGCCTCGCAGACGTAGGAGAGTTGGCTCCGAACTGCGTAAACAAATCTTTGTGTCTTTGCTTGTTTTTGTTTTGTTTGGTTTGGTGTTAGAAAAGGTGTTGTAGCATTCTGGGAAACTTAGTTGTTGCGCTACAACACAGTTTCCAACCCCTGTCTGCTTTGTTAAGTGTCTGTGGTTCTGGTTTATATATTGTGCTGTGGGTGTGGAAATTTCAAAGAGTACCTGTAACGGAAGTTGGTAGCTGCAAATAAATCAATTATGGCCTCAATATTTGTTCTGCCACCATTCCACTCGCCAACTTCTAATCTCATGTCTGAATGTCTAACTATCGTAAAATCCAAGAGAATAATGTAATTATGTAATTAGAGGACTGTTAGAATACCTCCAAGCCCACATGTAGTTGTGACACCTTCAGCCATAGTTTTTACAACACAAAGCGAGCCACTTCTCGAGAAGTCATTAGCGCAAGGCTGTGAAATCTTAAAAAATTATTCAAAATAATTTCTTAAAATTGAAAGAGAATCTAGAAAAAACAAAATTGGTGAAATTGGAATCTTTTATACCTCTTTGAAAGTTGCCATCTTATTCTAGTATGCCTGCCAAAATCCATGGTTGGAGTCCTGTTCTTGATCTACATGGAGTATTTGACTAACACCTCCAATTCTTTCAAGGAGTTCCTAAACCTCAAACCTCATAAAGATATTATTTAAGTGAAGCAAAAAAAAAAAAACTTTCAAATAATTAGGAAATAAAAATACTTGGTCATTTTTTTCATCCCAAAGTTGAATGAAATAATAATTTGTCTGCCATTAAACGTTGGTTGGAAGCCAAGGTGGAAACTCTCCCTCAGAATCTTTAGCATGAACAAATTAGAAACAATCAATATTATGTCCAAATTTAAAACGGTATACATTAATAAGCCACACTGGAATTTGCAAGTAATGCTTGTTATTCAATTAAAAATAACTTTTCAAGGCAAAATGCATTTTAGTAAAAAAAAACAACATCAATTACACTCTGTGCTATTGATATGAGTCATACTCGGTAAAAACAGTAAGCATCAACACTGCATTTTAGTGTACACTTTGCATTGACCAAAATGTTCATTAGTTTGAGATCACGATGGTAGACACTGTGCAAAACAGTTAACATTCATGAAGATATAAAATTTGGCATATGTTAAACCATTTATTTTGACAACACAATTTCCATATGTTTAAAAGAAACCCAATTACTCAAAAACAACTCTTGCAAGATACATAGGGCATAGCATAAACATGTAGAATAAACATGATTAAAAAACCAACCCATGCGCAAGATAAAATTACATTAGGCATAGCGAAAAAAACAAACTTGCTTACAATTCCATTTTGGGAATAACGCGTGCATATAAAAATATTATGGAATTGCAAACTAATTTAAAAACAAATACGAATCTCTTTTGGAAACATAAGAATCATCCAATAAAGGAATAGTAATCAATTTTTAAAACAAATGAATAATCCCTTTCATATGAATCTCTTCAGATTTGAAAGAGTTACGAAATATAAACCTATGAATTTTAAAAAATCAAATCAAATATATATACCGTGGAGTAAATTATATATATGTCAACAAATAAGAACCCTAACAACTTGGGGAAAATCATATTAATTAAAAAATTACCATCAGAAACTGTGGAGTAAATAAAATGAAGAAAAGAATGCCTGATATTGCGAAAGAATCATTGATACGCCGAAATTTAGGTTTTAATTGAGAGAAATAGGCTACCACCGAATATAATTGAGAAAGGAAACCTGAATTCGTGGTTCTTGTAGTCTAAGATAGCGAAGAAGGAAAGTAGATGGTGAAGGAAAGCACATAATTGAAAGGCGATTGACGACGAAGAAAATGAAAGGAGATCGGCGAAGATTCCGAAGAAGAGGAAAGCCGTGTATTCTCTCAGCTTGATCGTATTCTTTTTTTCGTACTGAGTCTATGCCACCTCAGCTTGCCATCTCACAATACTTCAATCAATTACTTTGTTTAAGAAGGTGACACATCAGCTTCGCCAAATGTCGCACCATAGCTCCGCCAAATGTTGTCTTACTACAGCTCTGACTCTGCTTTATATATATAAAGAACAAGTTTTGGACCCATGTTTCTCCCTATCCATATTCTGTCCATCCAAACCCTCCAAGGGTTTCCAGCGTGAGCATGAATCATGGACATGGCCAACCTTTTTACAATGATTACAAAAGGGTGGGACACATTCATAATAAAAAGGAAAGATGAGCTCTTCACCACCATGGTTAATGAGAATCTTAGGGGGCGGAAGGTTGGAGATATCAACCTCCACACAACATCGTGCAAGTTCAGGCCTCGTGAAATTTAAAGTATCAATGTCAACCTTTAGTGGAGTACCAATGGTAGAAGCAATAATCCTTAGAGCCCTTTTATCATGCAGATGAATAGGAAGACCGGGGAAAGCAATCCAAATTGGCATAACAGGATTATCATATTCTTGAGAAAGTGAGGGACACCACTTTGACAACGTCATAGTAGAGCCATGCACAGACCAAACTCTCCGCATAAAAAGTCTTACGTAGTCTTCCTCGTTTTTAAAATTGAGGAGAAAACGCTGCCTAGAAAGAGATGAGATCTCACATCTTTCCATCAGCCCAAGACGTGTTGATAAACCAATCCATGGATGAGAATGATGGATGCTCTTGAACCTTGGCAACCAGGGCAAGTTTAAACCTACCAGCCAGTTCACAGGGCAAAAGTGACAGATGGTACTCCTTTGAAAAAACATGTTGCTCGTCCTTGAAGTGCTTTACCCGTGAAACCCTCAACCACAACATCAGAGAAGAGGCGATTGCTGGCCGGAGGCCTCGGCGCTAGTTGCATGCTGATCGCCGGAGCTAGGGTTACGATCCATCTGATATATATATATATATATATATATATATATATATATATATATATATATATATATATATATATATATATATATATATATATATATATATATTAAATAAAAGAAAAGTTTTATTAAAATAAGAGGAGAAAAGATAAGGGGGGGTGGCCAGCCCGACAACAAGCCCAAACGAAAACCAACCCAAAAAAAAAGAGTACAAGAGAATACTGCCAAGAAAGAAAACTGGAAAGGAAAGCTGCCAGATACTAAAAATGAAAGAGTAGCTGGATGTACACCAAAACAACTGCAACCATTTCCCCATTTGCATCCATGCAACACCTTCTGTAGTTTAAAAATATAACCAAAGATTCCACCAAATGTACCATCAAATCAGCATCCTTTGCATCCTACTCAAGGAAAAAAGTCCAAAACCTGAAAACAAAGTTGGGACCTTGCTAGCAAAGTGATGAACGTTACTGCAAAAATAAGCAGCACTAGTTGAAACATGTTGTGTAGAAACAAGCTCCCGTATACTGTGGGTTGGAATAGCTGCTCCAACTCAATCTGAAACCCATACTCTAAAATAGAACCCTTAGGCACACTCTAAAAACAGAAGCCCTAAGCTACAAATAAAACCTTGAAAAACCCAATCTCAAGAGCCCTGAAATGGTGCAAGAGTAACCCAGCTTCATTAGATCCTCCCCTAATTTACTTAAGACAGAAAACAATAAAGCAAATACCAAGTACTTCCTTTTTCCTTTCCCCTTGAAAGCATAAAAGTAATTAGACAATAGGTTTGAAACGTTAACCAATTGAAGTATGTGACTCTTCAACCGGCTCCCCCGTTAGAAAATCTGCCATAAGCCTTTCATCAGCTTTGGAACAAGAAATGAAAGCTGGGTATTTAGAATCTTCAAATTGAACAAGGGTCACTTTTTCCATGCTTTTCACTGTCTCTCGAGTTGCTCTAATTGTCTTCCCCGACATATTTTGAAAAAGTCCCATTTTGAGTTGATCGAGTAGTGATGTCCTCGCCAAAGCCTCTAGAATCTGCGTCTTCACTGTCTTGAAGAGTGTTTCAAAATAGGCCTCAAAAGCTGGTTGAAATAACTTTTGGAGTTTCTTTTCTTCATCTTCATCTTCCTTAATCTCTTCTGGATCAGCTTTTTTCCCCTGTTCTGAGTGTTTAGGCACCGTAGAACGCTGCGTAACATCTTCTACCAGTAGATTTGAGGATATGGAAGCGAACCGCTGCTCATCCTCAATCCTCTCCACCTGGAACATCTGGTCTATCAAATCTAGGGAATCTGAAGCTTCTTCTTTCCTGGGAACCTTTACAGCATATTCATTCCCTTCTAGTATTTTTAAAGTTTCATTCAGTGCTTTTACGAAAAGCCTAATGCCTTCAGATTGCCGTCCAACTGGGATGCAAATATTAGCTCTCTCTCCTTCGGTTCCCGCGCTAATTCTAACGAAGGATCCAAAATGGTTTGAGTCCCAGTGGGACTTTGTCTTAACAAGCCCTTCAAATTTCGAAATTACCCAACCTTCTCTAGCCAAAGGTGGGTGGCTTAGGGACTCCGAAAGCCAAAGAGCAGTAGAACGCGAGACAGAAAGAAATCTAGACATACCATTCTTGGATTCGGAAATTATAAGGTTGTCTGAGGCCTGGAATTCAAATACCTTGCTTTCAATTGAAATTGAAACGCCGGAAAAGCTTCTAAAAGGATCTTGGTAACGAAAAGAGTTTGGTCTTCCAAACCTATACCTGGGCCGCCATCTGGTTCTGGTGTTCTTAGAAGCACCTCCCCAACCCATCGATTGTGTTCTACTCGTTGGAAATCTGCAATTCTTTTGCGGCATACTCTGGAAACCATCATGCCTGAAGTGGTCGGCGTTGTTAGCACTACACCGCCGGTGAAAAAGCTCCCTGCCCCCCCTTCTCTCTAGAAACCCCATGGGTTGGGAAGGTGCTTATATATATATATATATATATATATATATATATATATATATATATATATATATATATATATATATATATATATATATATATATATATATATATATATATATATATATACACACACATACATACATATATATAGACACACACACAAGCTTTTCAACCCGTGCCACGCACGGGATAAAAAAATTGCCGATTCTTTAATTTTTTTCATTGTGATGTTTCTTTGTGCGTAATTCCCTTTTTTTAGTATGTATGCCAAATTACCTTCTATCTCATCGTTAGTTGCCTAAGAAAATGACACATCAGCTCCGCCACATGTCGCGCTATAGCTCTCCCAAATGTCACATTCCTGCAACTTGGAGTCTGCTTTATATATATAAAAGGATATATATATATATATATATTTTTTTTATTAAAATTATTTATATTAAAATAAGAGCTGAATACAAAGACGGGGGGGGACTAAGCCAAAAGCCCGAGCAAAAAACGAAGAACAAGAAATGAGGAACATGTACCATACTAATATCTATGACCTTTGTTCAAGCATTCCGAGAGACCCAGGTCCTCCATCCCATTTGACTTCATTAACCACGTACGTCCCGAGTGCATATGGGTCCATCTTCTAATCCAGTTGATAATAGCATAGTAAATACTCCTAATCGAGGCCTTCTCACCTCCATATATGCATGCACTGTATGCCTTCCAAATAGCCCATACGATGAAAACCGGCATGCAAGAGCGTAGGATACCCCTGAGATCATTCTTATTTGACGATAGCCACCATTGGAGGAGGTGCTGGCGCAGGGTTACTCCCTCCTTCCATATAGAACCATCCGTCCTTTTTGCAAAATCTTTCCATATACCATTAATGGCAGGGCATGCAAGCAGCGTGTGATCTTGCTGATCTTCGCATCGTAGGCAAAATACACATTGTGATGGAAGGTGGTATTTAAGCCTACGAAGGTTGTTTGGAAAGCTGCAGCAGTTATTAAGCAATCTCCACTGGAATAGTTGGATTTTTGTTAGAAGGAGCTTATTCCAAATGTGTTTAGATGAAAATAGAGTAGGGCCATTGTCACTAACCAGATCATAGGCATTCTTCATGGTTAGGTTGAGGGGCAGGGAGCTACCAAATTCATCATCCTCTAAATACACATGAGCTTTGCATATTCTTTTCCACGTTGGGGAGTCCGGGAGATTCGCCTTTATAGCTGCCCTATTAGAAATGTATTTGGCTATCATAAAGTTTGTCCAAAGGTTCTCCACGTGATTAATCTTCCAAATAAGTTTTAGGGAGTAGGCCTTTTGGACCTGATGCAAGTCCCGTATCCCAAGTCCCCCTTCCTTCTTTGGTTTGCACATATATTCCCAGGATTTCCAGCGATGTTTGGCATTGCCGTTGGTGTATCCCCAGAAGAAGTTCTTCATCTTTGCGTGGAGGGTGTTGATGATTGATTTTGGAAGCTCACTAACTGCCATATGATGTAGAGGAATGGAGGAGAGTACGTGTTTGATCAAAACCAATCGGCCCATGGGGTTAAGGACCCTAGAGTACCAAGAGGACAAAAACTTGTCAAAATGTTGAAGTATAGGTTGGCAACCCTCCTTTCTAAGGATACCTTTAGTGATGTTCCCTCCAAGGTAAATGAAGGGGAGTTTTCCACACTTAATTTGGAGAGCTTTCTCCATTTGCAAGCATTTTCTGATGGGGGTCTTGGAGCTCACAAAGAACCTGCTCTTTATCCAATTAATGTCTTGACCTGAGGCTAGGCTGTACTCTTTCAAAATGGACATTAGGCGAAGAAGGTTACGGCTGTTACCGTTGAGGAAAAATACTAGATCATCTGCATAACAGAGGTGAGTGATGATTGGCCCCCGTCCACTGTTAAAAGGTTTGAGGAACCTAGAATGTAACACCCTAATCTGTCTAGGTCTGCAGCCCCTTTCGGACTAAAGTAATAACTTGGTAATCGTAAAATTTAAAACATTTCAAACACTTTTATTTATCACAATAATATTTTCATATCATAAACAATACAGAGTTTTTAATATTGCGGAAGCTTAACAAATCATAACTACAAACATAATTTATTTATGTTCTTTAATTCAAAACCATTACATCCATTCCGACAATCTCACCTCCGTCTGCCTCCAGAATCATGTCACATCATTCTTTCTATTAACCTGCGTGTAGCAAATAAAACATACTACACGC